GGTGGGGCGCGGCCGCCGCCATGTCACGCCGCGCAGGGCGCTGGCGGCGGCGGGAGGCGCCGGGGCCGCTGCGGGCCCTGCCGGGGGCGTCCGCCCCGGGTGGGTGTCGCTGGTGGCCGTGGCGGGGGATCGGCCTCGTTCCGAGGGCCGCGCGCGCTGCCGCAACCCGCCTAGCAGCGGGTGGCCGCGGCGGGTTAGCTAAGCCGAAATCAGAGTAACGCCCAGATAATGCAAGAATTTCATCAGCCCTACATCTCCTGATGTGCAGAAATCACCAATGTCTTTGGCATCATGGCAGTGTCCAAACTCTCCTATCAAGGTTCATTGTTATCACTGTTGGCACCCCACCACGCTCTGTCTACAAGCTCATGAGGACAGTCCCACCTTCCCTTCTCCCGCAAAGGCAGCAGTAGCCATCAAGCACAGCCACAGCAATGCTTAATAAAAACCAGATTGCGCGGAATTATTGTGTACAGTTATGGGAGATAGGCTACATACAGCACGCATTTTAATGCAAACCTTCAGCATTGTTAATCTGAAGCTCTGTAAGTGCTACAGATTTTACAGATATTGTAATACCCGATGGTTCTGCTGCTTCAAAAATGATGGTTAATGACGAATCTTGAGAATTCTAGGGCAAGCTGGAGTAAGTTGAAGTCTAGCATGTGTTAAGTATTTAAGTCTCCAATCTTCTCTATAGATTTTTTTTTTAACATTGCCATGCCCTCAATAAAGCATTAAAGTACTATATAATGCATGCAGCCAAACCCAAAAGAATCCCTTTCCTGTGCATCCTTAAGCACATAAAAAATACAATATAATTTGAGTTTTTAAAAATCTCATGGGTGTCTCATCGATTATACAAAAAAAATTGCTAAGTTTATACACTAATGGATTTTAGTTTTTTTCACTGCACGCTCTGCCAACTTGGCCTGTAATTTGGGAATTACACTGGGTTACTCTCATCTCACTAGTTACCAGAAATCATACTTCACTCACATATGTGCCACCCTTTTGTCTCCAGAACATGATACCTTTACCTGTGACAAAACATCATTTGAAGATAAATTGCACAGCTGGCACTGAAGACATAACTGGTCTTGCAGATTTTTTTTCTTTTTTCTTTTTTGCTGGTGAGAATACGCTTGCCCCTCGACCCTCATGAGTCCAGTCTGCAGGGATGGCATATAGGAAACCGCAGATTAGTCTTCGCAAATGCTGTCCATTTCATACACACTGCACATGGAATAAAAAATGATGATGCTCTCTGGTGACCTTCTCACAGGATGGTTTTAAAGACTGGAAAAAAACACTTCAAAGATGTTGGTTCTTTGTACTAAACATTGGAAGAAACATTTGATTTGTGGATGGACGAAACTCCCACATTGGTAGTGTATGCATGCAGGATCTATCAGTGTGCCYTTGAGACATAAGGAGATTGAATTGTCTCTAAATATTCTGTATTTTAGTAAAACGCAAGGGCAGGCAAGACCTCTCTCAAATTCAGGATTCATCAGAGTGGGCACATAGTAAAAAATATCAAAGGGAATCAGAGGGCAGCGCTTTGGTGAGGAGACTGAAGAGATCCTCACAGACTTCCCTGGCTGCCAGGCTGCTGAGAAGACTTCCTTCCAGCTCCCGCGCATGGCCGTTCACAAGCCGGCAGCCCTCACAGCTGCTGAGCCGCCCTGCCAGGACCTCCACCCCTCGTGGCTTCCAGGAGACCAGAGCTCTGGAGGGGACACCTGCACCAGAGGCAGGACTGACCCTTGCAGTTGTCAATTCAACGTGACACTGTCTTTAAAGAGAGTGTGTCCTGCCATACACACACATATCTTTTGTTGGTGGCTATAGCTGAGTTTCCCCTCTTCCAGYCTAGCCTGCACAGAGGCAAGTAGCTCTTCAGTCTGGAAGGATTAGAACAGTGAGAAAGTGCTATAGAGGCTGTGTGCCTAAGGCTTTAGTTTGCCTTATCTGACCTAACACATAGCTCTTCATCTATTCCTCTTGGATTAGCTGTACAAACTGCTAATTGGGTCACTGCAAACCAAAACAAAGGTTTGGGACTGTGAAAATCTCTATGTGAAGTGCTGGTAGTCATTTGATTAGAAGTCATTTTGGAGAGGCAAAGATAAGAAACACAGTTCTAAAACTGTTCACTGTTTGGGTTGCTGTTTTTTATTATTCAAAAAAAGAGAGTCACCAGCAGTTGATTACAATTGAAAGAATGAATTATATAAGCCTAATGGAACACTATAACCATAGCTGCATTTTCTCCTTAATTGGTTATGCTGGTGCTTAGCTGCTAGAAAAGTCAGAGTAAACTGACTTTTGTATCCATGGCAACCCGTGGATCCACTTTTAATTTGCCCATACATAAAATGTTGAAATTCTTTTCTTTTTCCATAAAGTTCTCCATTCTTGCTACAATAAAAACGGCACCCTCTGTATGGCTTCCTCTGATCRTTACAACTTTCTGGGAGGACTGAGCTTCTTATCTCCTGCAACAGGCCACTGAAGTTTTTAAAACTTCTCCTGCAGCTCTAAGAGCCTTCTGGCAGTGGACAATCCCTTAAATTGTCCTTCAGCAAACAGATAAAATATTTTAAGAAAGACACATGMATCTCATCATCCATAGCAGAGCAGGCAGAGCAGTTTCAACATATACAGTCAACCATTTCTTTGTATTCACTTTGCACAACTTTGAACCTAATCCTGTTTTCACTTCAGCCAAAGGTATGGCAATTGCATTCCTGTGGTCMCTGCGGTCCTCAATGGGAGTGGAATTCTAACAGGTACCATTTGGATTTAATCTCAGACTGCTTTGGCGGTGGACTAGGGGCTGTCTGAAGAACCCTTGCCAAGACACCGAACCACTGAAATGTGGCAGATCACATATTAACTCTCCTCCTCTAGCCACCTCCCTCAAGGTATTTAAGTATGACTGGAAGTGTATTTGGTAGTGTTTGTGCTGCTATTCCACATGTATTTCCTCTGACTAAGATTAGGCCAGTATACATAGAGGAGGTGGTAATCTCTGAAAATACGCAGGCTACAGGGAAAGAATTGTGAGCCCCTGGGTAAATGAGCTAGTTTGCAAAATGTGTATGCAATGCATTGCGTTTTAAAATTTAGTAAGATAAGAAAATTGAGGCCTTGTACCTGCAAAAGGAAGTTCTGTATTTCTCACTTCTCAGTAACTCACTTAATCAGTAATTTACTCTTAGATATCAATATCTTTGAGGAAGGGTCTTTACATTGACGAACCTTGGCCAAGATCCAAMAGGATATTGCTGTATCGATGCTCCTGTTTAAGCTTCCTAACTTCCTTTTGATTTCAGAGACCTTGTAGACCTGCGTTCTGGTCCATGTCTGGTTCTTTCACAACACAAATATATTCAGATGGAATAATATTTTATTAGCTTGCAATAGTATTCCTTCTTAATACCCTATCACRCAGCTCCAGCTTATAATTTGAATATCAAACTGTCTTGAAATCAATGTTTCATCAGGACTGAAAGCAGTGATAATTTGGAGAAACAGAAAGCATAAACTTCAAATTAGAGAGTGCTGGGTTTTGTTTTGGGTTTTTTTTTTTTTTTCTGACAACAAACACACTGAAGAGAGAAATGGAGCCTGTGTGCAATTTCCTCCTAAAACCCAGAGAAGAGGCAGTGAGGGGCTGCCTTGTCCCAGGTGAAGATCACGGATCATGCTGTTCCTCAGCATCTCACCATGTGATGTGTGATTTACCCTCACTTGAAGGGGAAGAAATCCAGAGAGCCACARCTCATCATCTTACATTTCTGTCCATGCTCTGATACAAAGACATCTGCTACTTGCCTGGATGCATGGCCTGTGGAAAAGCATCTCAGTAGGCATTGATCTGCCACTCTATTGCCCTGAATAATATAGTTATTTCAAGTAGAGAGTTAGTGGACCTCTTTCTCCTCCTCCCTACAGCTTTCCTATTTGAAGTAATATCAGTAATGGCTGCCTTGTTGTTGTTGTTGTTGATGATTTTTTTTTTTAAACTTTCAAACTTCAGTAGTTACAGCATATAGGATGCCAGCACCCATAATAACAGTTGTTAAGATACTTCCTTTTTACTCTTTGGTTTCCAGTTTCTTAGGAAAGTCTGAACACTATTTCTTGGYCTGATATTTTACATTGCCCAATTATGATG